TGCCAATCCCGTTTAGGATGATTTCATGGAAGAGTTTATGGACGGTACAGTACAGGCGGCTTGTGCAAAAGTTGCTGATGCCGTGAAGGACGCAATTTTGAACAATAACACAATCTTTATGATTCTCCATTAAATAAGAACCTTGTAATTTGACGGAAAACGTGTGAAGAGCCGAACCAATGTGTTTATAAGACCTGGCGGAAGGTTCTTCAGGTGCTCGGATCTTATATTGTCCGCATCTGGTGCTGTTTGATTCTTCGCCAACGAAATACCATGTCGGATATGGGGAGAAAGAACAGTAGGGATGAAATATCCGTTTTCCTTTATGTCGTATGAAGGCAACAGAACGTGTATATTGAAGTGATCCAAGTGGTAATTGTGAATGATTTTCCTATTGCTTTTCTGGAAGTTGTAACCGTTCAGTTTAGGAGTCGGAGTGCGACTATCTTGGTTTTGTAATCGGCGAAATCTCGATGGACTTTGCAAATGCTCTTCTTAGCTTCTGGAGCTTCGATTACAATTGCTACTCCTCTTTTTATTCAAGACCTTTCATAGCCTTTCTTTATTGTTTTATAAGTTCGAGCGTCAGTTAGTGATTTCCTATAACTTGCGTGATTCCTCGTTGGCGTATCAGCTTGAGTGCTTCTGAAGACAGACGTCTCTTGGTGACCTAGGAACTCTCAGCTCCCATAGCGGTAGCATGAAGACGATGAATGAGAGTCATCGTATTACTCGTCGATGTTATTGACAACGGCATCTTCCCAACAGCCGACTAATGAACTGAAGAAATCTCAGCTTATGGAGGTTTTGATACTTCGGTTTTTGAATTTGGCAGCTTTTCCACCTTCCTCCGAGAAACGGAGTGTTGAGCAAAGGATATGATAGTCTGATAACGTGCAGAATTTTGTGACAACAGCTACATAGGTTAGGCAAAGCCTTTGACTTAATATGATGTAATCCGTTTCGTTATGGTACGCTCCATTGGGGGACTCCCATGTCCAGAGTTAACAATGTGGCTTCTGGAATTGCTGGTTACCAAATGGTCTTGGTCGTCATGGCAAACTCACACAGTCGCTTATCCTGCTCTTTCCAATCTAATTCGTGGATCCCAATGTGACGTTCTTCTGAGTCTATTTTTTGACCTTATAGTTTGTATCGTCTTCTCTACAAAATTTCTTCAAGTCTACATAGCACGCTTCGGCTCCGCTTTCCTCATAGCTGGATGTTGGTGCGTAGACGAAGGGGATTGTCAAAACCGGTATTAATTCATATCTCTTCAAACATAAACGTCCGATTCGGGTTGTAAGCTGTTCGAATGAACCGATGTTCGTGGACAAACTCGTGTTGACGAGAAAATGGACGCTGTGGACTCCTCCAGTGCCTCATATTCGGAGGAACAGTTCTTCTCCGTTGTTGGCGTCTTTTCATCTCAGCCAGTCCGATAACGTAATACCTTATCTTTTTTGCTTGCATGATCTGTGGACGATTAGCATGCATTGTAGGTACACACCTTCATCGTTTGTTTTTGCGACTTTAGATGTTTAGACTGTTCCTCAGATTTTAGCAATCTTTTCGTGGTCGTCCTACCCAATGATGCCACATCGGGGGCTCTTCCGGAGTCAAGGCAGTGATACCAACTTATTTTAGTGTGTTCACTATTGGGTACAAACGTATAGCTTGCCTAACTGTAAGCGTGGCGGCCGGATATATTCACGAGAGCCTACTACTCTCTCCAAGAGTAGATGAGTAGATGGGGAGCTCATTTGTTGAACGCGACTTCTAACTATCTCCCACATATTTTCTTTTCCTAACTTTTTTTGTCATTTGATTGCTGGGTTTTGGGCGAATTGACTCGTAGAATACAATCCGCATAAACGAGAGCACACGAACGCACGCACGCAGGAGTACATGCTCAAAAATACAGAAGCTTTGTGCCAGATTGGCGTAGCGGAAGCAGAGAGTCCATCCCTGGATTCATTAACGTCTGATGGAAGCAAAGGTCGCTTTTGGTCCGCGAGTAACACCATATCCGGTACACGGGGACGCCTCATATTGCCTTGCGACTGACCGGCACGACATCCCTCTATGAGTGTGATCCGTGAATCGATTGAATACGAAAAGGGAAGCAAACAAGCACTATTTGCGACAAAATAAATAGTCGGGAAGGACATTGGTGCACCGATCTCAGTAAACATGACCACTTATGTGCGAAAAGACGGTTATGCGTTCAATTAGGACCTAATTTATGAGTATTTGCGAAGCATTGAAAGACTTGGCAAAGTAGACAAGTCTATATGACCCTTCCCACCCTACCCTATAAAGGAAGCTAAATCTTCAAAAATATAAGCAACTGTGGAAAAAGTTATACAACAACCTGGTACCGGCTCATCATGAGCACAGAAGGAAAAGAACTGAACTGAATTGTTTGTTCAACACCGATGTCGATGTAATGAAGAGAACAACATGGCTTTCGGGTAATGTAGTACTGATTGAAAAAATAAACCGGTAATCTTGAACGAAGAAGATTCTTGCCTTATTTAGCACATTTGTCTTCATATGCCACAGCACTTTCGCTTAGAGATTTCTGGCCATTTCGATCTTTATAGTGGATGACAAAAAAGGCAAGCGTGGCGCAGTGGTTGGAGGCGCCCTCCAATACACATGGGTTTTATCACCGCTCCCCAGGCTCACCAAACCTTCCATCCCTCCGCAGGCCACCATGAGTCATTGTAAAGGCCAGATATGCATTCAATCACCTCCATTCGATACTTAATGAAGTCGAATGCATGGCGCATCCCTCAGGGATTGATCAACGCCGAGAGCTCTACCCTTCATCCTTTATAGTGGATGACAAACATTTTTCGAAAACGTCCACTGTTCTTTGAATGCAGTGAGTACTTCTACTAGTTCGAAATAGGAAACATTCGCAGAATTTTTACAAAGAAAGATTACAACGAATATACCCAATCCTACTTGGCGCTAACGCTGTCCAGTTCTCTTTAAAACACCAACTTTGGTTTATCAATGACAAAATATGGCTTTTTTGAACCTGGAAGGTATGAGGACGTTTGAAAAAAATCTCTTCTTAACTTCACCGATGGAAAATATTGGAAGAAGAATAACGATGGATAATCAATTTTTCCATAACTGTGTCGCCTGTATCGATAAGGACTTGGACTTTCAAGTAACATTTACTAAGAAGTGAAAGATTGGTTTAAAACTTACTGAAAAATGATCCTGACACGAAATTTGGCTGTCTGAGTACAGCTGGTTGAACGGTGGTCGTAAAAGTAGAGGTTTCAATCTTTGCTGTTGTCGAATTATTGGCAGTAACAGCACTGCTGTCCAAAACCTGTTGAACATTTCGTATTGCAACGACACTAGACACTATCAGCCTCATTCCCGCAGCTTTCGTCATCTCGAAGATAATCAAATAATGTCACGAAAACTCTTACTTTTCCTGAACTTTCTCCTACAATGCGATTGCCTTCCAGGGTGGATAACCCATTAGTGATGGATTGAAGTATAAGGAATCCGATGTATAGGAATTGAAAAAAACTCATGATTGAAAGAAAGCGGATTTCGAGTAAACTGGAAAACGGAAGCGATCAGATGACAATCAATGGTGCTTATCGGTTTAGCTGCCACGAATACGTGCAGCTCACCGCCCATTCAATGCCATTCATTTGATGACATCGCGCTTCAAAAAGCTGTCGCCACCAAATTGAAACATATAGATGACGACGGACGCAACAATGAGAGACGGAAGTGATTGTCCTCGTCTCAGATCATCACGAATTGCGCCTTCTAACGAATTTCACACTTATAGAAGGACATTGCTTTTTTGGGGCTCAAGTGCACTTTTCAGTTCACGTTATAAGACGGAAACGCAAATACTAGATTTTTGTGAATTTTACACAGCACGGAATTACACTTCACCTTGCGCGGAACCGACCATTTCTAGTATGGGATTTGTTTCCTCACATCCATCGTCCACGATGATTCTCGGTCCTCGAAATTTTTGCGTGTTAGTTCAGCTTCTACTTGAACGGTTTCCATTTTCCTCTCAAATGTCCTTGAATGCTGGCGAGTGGATTCTCTCTGGAATCCTGGGAGCGCGACGCTAGAGCGTTCCTAAGCAGACTGAAAGAGATGAGCTCATCCGAAACAAGTCCGGTACCGGTTCCCCACCTTGAAGGTGTGTTTGTTGGACCTAGCGCGGAATAGAAGCAGGGTCTACGTCGCTGGAGCATTCTGCATAATGAAACTATAACCTATGCACTATAACCCAACGTCCATAAACATTGAACATGAAGTGATTTGTTAATGCCAGCAAGTCGCTTGGGTTGGACGTCTGAAGTCCTGTCCCTTAAACCTCTAATAAAAATTTTATGGATCTTGTGTTGCTTCCAGCTTTATTGCTGTGGCTTCAAATAACTTCCATAACTCGAACATTCTAATACAAAGAAAGCTAAAACAGGATAAAGCTGTCGGCGTTGACCAATGGATGCACCATGCATTCGACTTCCTTAAGTCGTTTGGAGGTGATTGAATGCATATCTGGCCTTTACAATGACTCGTGGTGGCCCACCGATATATCGAACCAGTGTTGCTCTCCTACGAGACAAGACTGGTACCAATTTCTCGGAGGGATGGAAGACTTGGTGGGCCGTGGGCGTGAGGATCGATTCCACGAATGTGTTGCAGGGCGCCTCCAACCACTGCGCCACACGCACTCTTTTCCAATACAAATATCATTAGCAACTAGAACTCTTGAAGAAATCCATTTAAAATGGTGGTAGATAACCTAATGGAACATCGGAAGTTTCGCACGTTATGTGATGAAGTGTAAAAAAAAGAACATTAGCAAGACGTTTTTTTCTATCATCACACTCTTATAAATTTATGTAGGAAGCGTTGTAAAGCGATAAAGATTCAATTTCGCCTTTTATTTGTTATCTATTGCTATTATTGTTAAGCAACACAAGTGAAAAGCCACGTCACAACTCGTCCTTGAAAACGGGCAATCGTTCAGGACCTTTTTCCAGGAATTCGGGTGCACTGTCAACTTCCTAAACACAGATAAGATTAGTTCCGCATCCACATGCCAATCCAAGAAATAACCCTATCACAACTATCCAATCATCGTGAGTTCAACTGGGAAAGTAAAGTAATTTAAACAAATGCTATGAAACTGCTAAGTGGAGATGGATCCAACTCACTGTGTAGCTCACGACGCCATCGTTGTCGAAGTCGAGTATCCATGCAAGTCCCGGATCCCTCTTCCGGCCTTTCGCTTTCGACTTGGTGTGTTCCATACTTGTTTCGTCTCTGTTCATTACTTTTGTGAACTCCTCCTCGTCAACATCTCCATCCCCATTGATATCAAAGTATCTGAAATGGGTGGTTTACGCTGCTACTAAGAACATCTCATATTTGATGCTGATACACTACGGAATTTCCTTAGAGCTGGAAGCCACAATTTACATGTACTTCTCGCAGATCGTATGACAGGCTACCTTCAAAAGGAACAAATCCCAGACCAGTGGAGAACGTCGCGCACGGTGATCCTGCCCAAGAAAAGAGACCAAAGCGATCTTCGTAACTTCGCCCCATATGCTTATTGAGTGTACTCTACAAGCTCCTCACGAAGACCATCCTCTCGCGCATATCAAGGACATTGGTTGAATCGCAACCAGTCGAGCAAGCAGGATTTCGAAAAGGATTTTGCTGCATGGACCACATCCAAACTGTATCCAGGGTCATCGAAGTTTGTCGGGAATACCACTTGCCTCTAGTCCTAACCTTTGTCGCTAGAGAAAGCGTTTGACAGTGTCGAAACGAATGCAATCCTATCAGCGCTCGTCGACCAAGGAGTAGAGCCGTCCTACATAAGGGCTCTCTCCGACTGTTATCGGAACTGCACTACGATAATGCAGCTTTTCCATCGACCTCTTACAATACCCATAGGAAAGAGGGTTCGACAGGGCGACACAATATCGCCAAAGCTGCTCAGTGCCGCACTGCAGTGGACAATGAAGTCAGCCGATTGGGATGAGAAAGGCATACGTATTGATGGAAAATTCCTAACAAGCTTTCGTTTTGCCGACGACATTATCTTCTCAAGAAGTACTATCTAGCGAAGCAAAGGTGATGATCAACGAGCTGGGGAAAAAGATCGGACTTCGCATAAATCGAAAGAAGACCCAGTTCATGAAAAACCCATGGTGCGAAGGCGAAAAAATTGAATTGGATGGCTCTCATTTCAGAGGCCACCTCCTACGTTTACCTTGGGTGATCAATGAACATGGAAAACAACATGAAGGAGGAACTAGACAGAAGAAGGAGAGCAGCTTGTGCCACATTCGAGCCTCTCAAGGAAGCCACCGACCGACTGAAGAGCCCGAAAATCCGCGCTCATCTTTTTGATTCTACGGTCCTCTTAGCGCTCTGTTATGCTGCAGAGACGTAGGTTGATACTTCAACTACGTCAAGAATGCTTCGAAATACTGACAGAGCACTTGAGCGATGTCTTCCGAAATGTAACAGGCACTCTCAACAAGTAGCCGGAATGCGAAGCTTTGACCTTCGAAATCTGTCACATCTTCGAGACCCAGGAGAGTATACATCGACAGCGAAACAGATGAGCCGGTCACATAATGAGAAGGTCAGATGACAGATGGACGAAAAGAACAGTACAGTGGACTCCAAGAGAATACAAACGTCCCCTTGAACGGCCACCTACACGTTGGGCTGACGTGTTCGTAAACAAAGTTAATCAGCTGTACCTGCAGCTGCACTTGTTTTACAGATCACGGTAAGAGGCTCGCAAGCGCTACCATGCTCGAACAAGGCCACCACTATGGACGACGACTACGAGGTAAAGAAACGAATGGGAAATGTGCTGGGGTCCGCACAACTCGTGAGGACGGACCATCTAAGTATCCAAGTAAGATGTACTACGGAATATGAGCTCTGTATGACCTTAGAACTATGATATAAGTTTTACCTGATGTAGTACTTAACGGCAGACACGTTATCGATATCCTCATTTTTCCACGTCTTTCCGTAGTCTTTTTTCATTTTCTCCAACCATTTGATAAGCTGAAAAACAAGATCGAATCATGTACGGATGTATCGGAAATCAAGCACTAACGTGCTGCCCGATGACTATGAAAACAGAGGTCTCGAGACAGCAGTCTTTTAATGTTTCACCTGTTGTGAAAAGTGGTTCAAGGATTCTGTAGCCAGAAAATAACAAGAAGGGGAAACCAAAGGGTTAGAAAGATAGATACACACTAAATACTTGCGATCACATAGTCCTTGGACTTAGTACCCGTTGATATTATCAATTCGCCACTCTACAACTGTTGAGCTCCTGTGTAGTTACGTAAACACGAATTGAAAGCGAGGAGTCACGGAAGGAGATCCTGCCTATGCATACAGTTAATACATTCAATAATAAAAATGACAATTTTTAGGAGGCATAAGACGGCTTGTGCCACTCGCTAACATTGGTGCCGACCACCATTAGTGAATTTAATGCTCTAGGAAGGTGCAAAAAAATTTGTAGATTGGTGAAAATGCTGGAGGCCAGAAGAGGTTCATGTTGTACCACTTTCGATAAGAAAGCACCAGTCAAAGAACCATTCTTTTGTCAATTCTTCCATCTGCTTTTCCATATATCATCGAGGAATTCCACACAACGGTTGACATCACTGAATGTTAGCCACTGATTTCTCGAAGTCCTGTTTATTTGCGTTTCTTCATGATTATCTCAAGAATAAGAACAGCAGCGCCGTGTCTTTACTTAATCTGATTTTAGCTACCTGTCAAAGAAATCAAGACGTTCAGGGTACTGATACATAGGGCAAGGAAAATCTATTGCAGCGTTTTCAAACAGGATTCAACTTCTAATTTAGTGTATAATATTGATTACTGGTGTTGTCGACTAAGTTCACCTGTTCGGCTCATAGCCTAAAACTTCACCATTTGTCTTGGTTCCTACAAGTGGAGATGCTCGAAGCAACTATATTACTAAGTACGATATTGATACCGTTCCAGTGGTTTGCCGATGTCGTTATGTTGTATTACTGGGTATCAGAGTGCACTGTACAGACCGTCCATTTCTCTCGAATGATGACTCATGCCGAAGGGGAGCTCGTTTCCATTCGAAATCCGAGAAGACTGATCTTATGTCAGGAATTACAACCATTCCGTAATACCAATTACATGATGGTAAAATCCGGTGTGTTAAATACTTCTTCATACAAAAAAGTAATGTTTCCTGTATCGTTCAAATTCAGGAGTCAGATTTCAACGGTGACAAGAGAGCGGTGATAATAATACTGGCATATAGTCGGCAAGTAAGCAACTGTTAGTTAGTCACACTCACTTCTTAAAAAGCAAACATTTGAAAGGCTTCTGAATTAGACACCCACTCCAGATTCTGTCAATTTTCCTTTGGAATCTGCGTCGAGGAACACGAATTGGCGGTGAAGCGAGTATGGTTCTACGGAGAGCACCTCCAGATTGAATATCAGCCAGTGCTCATCGTTCGGAATATTCTTCCATACTGAAAGTCACAGGAACCAATGAATTTCCAACGTTTGGCAATAATACTATCATCACTATTATTAAGCCACATTATATCATAGTTATTACGATCGTTTTAGTTAACACGCTCTATAACACATTGTGCTCACATCGTTCTGTTACATCGTTCTCTACCGGTCAGCCGGCTATCCGCGGAAATCGTTGTCGTTCTGAAAGAGTTCGAATCGGAAGGCAGCAAACTTACCTCCGGTCCCCAAAGAGTGCAGCTACTGCCTGTGGTAACCAGTTGGAAAATCCTTGGCCCAGTTACCTCGAAATTATAGAGAAAACCACGCTCAGCCATCATTCAAAATCTCAATCAGGAAAGAAGACGACAAATCTTGAAGCCGCGGCAGGTCCCGGAGACGAAGCTGACCACTTCCATACGTGGTGGAGTGGTTGCATAGCAAGGAAAATGATGGGAAAAGTGACCCAAGTTAAAAAATATGTGCGGAAAGACCAATTCAATACCCAAGCAGGTCATTGTGATTCTTTCTATTACTAGTATTTAACATCGCAGAAGTGCAATCCTGGAATGCGGGCTGTGAAACTAACCTCAGTACTCTGTACACTGGGCAGTTCCGAGTTACTGTGGAGGACAACTGCCACAGGACACGTAGGAGGCCTCTGGTAAAGGACCAGAGGAAAGGGCACAATAGATCACTAATACTACTGCATGCATTGCACATACCACATCAGAACCTTCGGTTCTGACGCCACGCCGACCGTTTCGCTTTCTTCAGAATCCCACGGTCCATAATGTCCTATGTGATCAGCCTAGATCGGCGAAGAAAAAAAGACTGACATACACTAGCTAAACTAAGAGACCTTGAAATTCGATACTGTTGAGCAATGTCTGCAAGAGATATTCGTTACCAAATGCATGGATTCGTGCGACATCCAATCACCTGGCTTGGCCATCCTCCATCTTTAACCCTAAAGTGAAAAGGCGATAGTATCTTTAATTACTACTCGTTAGTTTATGCAGCCTGTGAGAATAAATTGCACACGCTCAGATGAAGAAGGGGATTCGCAACAAAAGCCCTGATATTATCGGAGTATGCAGCATCAGAACACGGAAAACCTATCAAACAGAATGAAGGATCAGGAAAATCGGAGTACGCCAGAAAGATAAAAGTGAACGCCGCCTTAGTGAGCTTCTGCTCATAGCATGAATTTTTCAAGAGATTCTTTTGTAAAACAAAGTCTCTGGAAGAAAAAAATAGAAAAAATAGCCATAAAAATCGTTTAACAGCACATCTTGTTGGTCGGTCGACCACATCCTCAGCAACAGAGAACCTTACTCCTTGACACCTCGGCAGCGCCACACATTGAACATTGGATCCGAATACTCCTTTCTCCTTGCCAAGCTTCGATTTAACGGCAAACTAGAAAAGAAATTCTTCAGTGCGCAAGGAAGCCAAATCAAAGAACACTCGGCCGATGACTACGAGCTACTCGCTAGAGGACTTAGAAGCAATGAAGAATACCATGTCGTTTCCCAATCGAGAACTTCTTAACATATCTTCTCCAAAATCGACGAGTTGTTTGGACATAGAAAAGAATCGAAAATAAACCTGACCGTTATACAAATAAGAAGCTACGTAGTGAATACCGGCCAGAGCAGATGCTTGTTGGAAAGCTTCTAATGATGAAAAGAAAAAAAAAATAGAAAACTTGAGGAAAACCAATCTAAAGAAATGTAATCGGGATATCCGTAAGTACGACGTTTAGAATGTTCAATATTGGTTCGCTCTGGAAGAGAATAGGACATCATCACTGCTCGCAATGTGTAATTGGTAAAGATGTTCTATTTCAATCTTCTCTACTCTATCCCCTTCACTCCAGTCTACGAAATCCCCGCTAGAGACAATACAGATAGATTCTTAATGGTAATGGCCAGGTGTAGCTCTAGGTAAAGATAATATCACAGTCGACTTCTTGGAGTTCAAAACCACGAACTACACATTATTCGTCACTAACATGAGAACTTGTGTTGCAAACGGTATGACTGCTCGTCTTTGAACTAGTTCAGGAGTAATCATCATGTCAAAGAAGGTGACTGAGGGCATCTTCGATACCATTACACAAATTGCAAGTTGAATATGCTGGAAATTCGTCTTGTTCCATCGGTTATGCATGAGAAAGGGATTCGTATTTAGAGGCGCCAATCGTTCTCAACGGAACAATTTCCAAGTGTTCCAAGTACATTTGTTTGAATTGGATAAGTTATTATGATGGATAAGTTAGTTGCAGAGCTGAGCAGAATGAAGCGGAAAAAGAAAACACTTTATGTGCGCTTTTTCAACTCCACGCTTCCTCTTCCTTAAAATGTGTTACGGGGAAACCTAGGGTCTAGGTCAGCAGGATGAAAGATCACTTGGCGTTATCAGTTGCGCCATCGAGGGCGATGATGGGTGTATACCATATCACGTAACTGAAAGAGGAAGACCGAAGTTCCGATCTTTGTGTCGACGATCATAGAGCAGGAACACTATCCAAAGTCAGTTGAGTTGAACACAATGCATTCACAATGATGCTGAGATATTTACAAAACCCCGGACCGCAAGTGTCTCTGGTGGGAACGAACGCGCTACCACCCTTTTCACTGCATTCATTTTGCGCGATTACAAAGTGATACATGCGATTATTACCGTCATTAATAATATTATTATTAACTACAATAATGATTATTATGACGTCCTTGATTACGAAATTTGCTTTCATTACCCGTGACGTTTTATACAAGGAACTTCTGTTTTCTGAAACATAACAAATAAAGAATGTCGTGGATGTCAATTAACAAACAAAGTATATCATCTTATCCAGTTGTAAAAAGAGTGAAGAAAGATGTGTGAAAAAGACTTTGAAGCTTCCTAGCAGTAACGAACTTAGGCTCACTTTTACTCTTCGCCTTGCGGCTCAACCTGTACGGCACGTGCAGCTTGCGCAACTCCTCAGCACACATGCCCTTCAAACCCTGTAAAGAGTGCTGTCAGCATGATGAGCCAGCGTGAGTTCAAAAAAAGACTTCTCCTCCTGTCGTACTTTGTCGAGACCGGGCATGGCCATGCCCACACCCAGCTGGATCGTCACCGGACTCTCACCGTACGTTTGGTACACGTTTTTGCCCTCTTCAGTGAATACCTGCTATGAATCGGGTTACTTTTACGATATTAGCACGGTATCATCCGGGATTCACCAATTCAACGATGTCGTTTCATTATTTTTTATTTCCATATGAAGTCATGTTAACGCGTAAAAATTACTAATCAAAAAAGAATAAACTATGGGAGCAGTAGATACTTAAAAATACAAAAACACTACCTTATAGTGAAAGGTGATAAAGTCCTTTCTCTTCGCCACTGCCTCACACTTTGCTGGAACCCAAGTCCTTTCTATCTAAAGTATGTAACGTTGAAAAGGTTTGCGACATGACAGGAAAAAGAAATAATCTTTTTTCATGAAGAAGAAGCAAAATATCGTACAAATTCAGAAACGATTTAAATTGTTGAATTCATTCAGCCCGACTTTTAAGCAATGTTCCATTTTCTATGACTACTCAACATAATTTTCTAAGCCCCATCTACTTCAACATCTGCTAGAAGTGATTGATTCTTTATGATAGAGGAGTACGGAGTACTTCAAATGCTGAACTCACCTTACATGGAGATAATTTTTCGTATTCATTGTCTATCTACTATACTCCCATTAGAAAAACAGGACACGGACTGAAGCGCAGACCTTGATATCCAGTGGTCCACCGTTGTTGAGCTCCTCGAGGTGGCGAATCTGAGCGGCACTCATCGGCTTGCCCTCCCCTCGGATTTCAATCACCGGGATCGAATCCTCCACTTTCCCACTACCGACCGCATCATCGCTGCGCCCTGAAATGACAACAACTGATTCGGTCGAAAGCTGAGGCTTGTTGGCAATCGAATAAAGCTATTTCATTCTATTGCAAAACAGTAGTTAGAAAAACAAAATTAAAAACGAGAGTAGTGGCGCGTTCACCACCACACCTGCCCGGAAAGGACAATAGCGCGTTCGTTCCCCACTTGATGTTCTTAATTTGCAGTGGAGAGAAACCACCCAGCTGGCCACAATAGCCTCTTGTTGTTGCTTCGAGTGCTCTCCTTTTCCAGTGAATACTCTTCTAACCGACGGGGTATCAAGGACGAAGAAGTGTGCAGTACAGAAGTGAAGATGCACAAGCTGGTAAACAAAATTGCCCATGGTATACTGTATGATTCGTGGGCTACACATGTTCCGGAGGACAACTTTGTACAGTATCCACTCTAAGCACGTGTTTAGCAGATACAAAAAATGTGAAGAACAGCTGCCTAGCGCAGTGAATAATTAATGCGAGCACGTTGACCTTCACTGAACAAATAAGTAACGGAGCTCAATACAGGTCAATAAATTCTGCGAGAGGAAATGGGAAATTTTCCGGATCCACAATTAATTATGGTCGATGGGAATGTGGATATTAACATAGTAAAAGTAGGTTAATGGCGACGAACGATTCCAGTGGAAGTGCCACGAATCAGCGCCAAAAGAAGATTTCGCTCTAAAAAGCCACCCTGGAGAAAAAGAAACACCCACATCATTGGTACTCCTGGGATTCCCACACTGAGCATAAGATAGCAAACAAACGGAGAGGAAATGCGCGCTGGAATAAAAACTATTTTGGGAAGGATGGAAAAAGTGCAATAGCGAAAGAACGCCTGAAATCAAAATGAAAACTCTCGAACTGTTGGCGATGAACCAACGGGTTAAGATGCGAGAGGAACTTCTCTCGAAGAAATTCGAGTAAACAAATTCTGTCCAAGATTCTTTAAAACATTTTCTAATGACAGTAATGAATCCGATTAGTCAACTAAGCGATACATTGGTACGAAAACCCTTTCAATCCAGTAACTTTTCACATAGAAAAATCTCTTGGCCAATCGATGGGAGCAAAAGAAACTTGGCGCACTAAAAATCTCTAAACGAGACGTTAACAGTTATTTTAAGTGATTTTAAGTGAATCGAATTTTCCTACCTTCAATGAAGAATAGACACAGCACCGTAAAAGCAGCACGCATAGGATATGCGATTGAAATGGTACTGACCCCGATCTGCCGAGCGAACAGACACCACACAGGAGGAATCAATAGTCGGTCAGAAACTCTGGACGTCTCAGGTTAAGAATGCCAGGCACAGAGTCGGCGCCAGTAGTCGGGGTAACCTTGACCAAACCGCAAACCTAAACGGCCTACGACGGTTGCGAAAGCACAACCCGAAAATGTGAAAGTTCCATCGAGCCAATAGCTTGCAACAGAATAGTAGAACGTGGTGGGTACGTGGTTGCGGACTTGAACTTATCGTTAGAATGTTAACTTTTTTATTTACCGCCTACTACAATTTTCACGCTACGGTATTATTCGAAATCAACCACAATGGTGCTGAGATATTTGCAGAACTCCGGACTCTAGCTATCATCGGATATTTACCTTCTGTTTACTGCCTACTAGAATTTTTCATGGCAGAGTACTATGCGAAATACAATCACAACTATGCTGAGATATTTGCAAAACTCCGGACCACATATGTCTGCGGTGGGGAACGAACGCACTATTACCCTTTCCGGGGGCTAACGCGTTCACAACCGCACCATACGGGTCCTTCGTTTTGCCTGCCTCTCAGCTAGTTTTCTATCGATCGCTGCCATCAGCAATCACCCGTTAACGGGATTGATCTGGAGAGCCCACATCGGCATCGAACCTAGTTAAGCTGAGGCTGTAGTTGAAATCAAAATGTTTGCTTTCTATTTGTTGCCTACTAGAATTTTTCATGGCATGGTATTATGCGAAATACAATCACAACGATGCTGAGATATTTGCTGAGAGACAAACGAAACGAAGGATGTGTGTGGTGTGGTGGTGAACGCGTTAGTCCACGGAAAGGGTACTATTGCGTTCGGACACCCGCCGCCCACAGTTTTGCAAATATCTCGGCATCATTGTGATTACCATCGGATATTTTCCACTAGCACTGCTGTGATAGGCTGTTATATGCTAGAAAGCACCCAACCGTCATGCTGAGGTCGTCAACATTTTGGCAACTAATGTGTATAATGTAGTTTTAAAAAATAGCGGCGTGTAAATGTTTGTTGCCATTACTCGCAAATGGTTAGCTAGTTCAGATGAGATACGAAAGGGTACAATTAAATAAAAGCCGTCTGAAGAAACTGGAACAGAATCACCGACGTTAAGCAGCAATAAGATACGACCAATAGATGACTGCATGAAGGTCCTTCGAAAGGTCATTGTGTTGTTGTCCATTCAAGACTAGTCGATACGCTATTGTCATGCGACCCTCATTCCTTCGTGTTCCAAGGCAAACGGACTTTATTGTCAGATATTATTCGTAGTTAGTCTCTTCTCAAAGTGAGGTAAAAGCATAGATCCCATGAAAGAAACAAATAAAATAATGATCTAAATATCAGTGTCTTTTTGGTAATTTTCGTGACGGAGAAAATTTTCTTTCCATGGAGCTTAGGGCCTCTCAGGTTTCCACCACCTGCTAGCTTATGTTATTGGCAAGATGACATTGATCTCTAGCGTTGGCTTGAATCTAGCTAGGGTTCGAAAGGAAAATGTCGAACTCTTTTTCAGTTTGAACGGTTTCGCTGAGGGGATGAATCGCTCTGCTATGCATCCTGATGTGCCGCCCAAGTACTGCCTCCAGCCACCATAGTGCGGGCGTGTGGTAGGTTGTTGGATTGTTAGGCAGCCATATGAAGAGAAACTGTAAGCAACAATGCAACACGAAGAAATTCTTGAGGTAATTAAGAAAGCCATATCTATGATATTTTGACCAGTTAAAATCGGATCGTGTTTAGTTTCTTCGCGAATGGAACGATCATCTTGGCATTTCCAATTGAGTTCATGTGATCCCACGACTAGATGTCTAAAAGTGAATACTAGTAAACCTTGCAAGCTTCGAACTTCGTGGGTAAATTTAGAAGCATTGGAAAATGAGAAAGTTCTTAAATATCTGAAAACGATGTTATTGTAAAGAGAAATTCGTTGTTTTTCAAATACGACGTCCACTGCACGTTTTTTTTGCACCTTCTGCGGAATTTTTGCGGGCCACCAAAAACCGCTAGGGTCTTTGTTCCGCTCATGATTCATGGGTGGAAGAGTGAGGAATGTTGGAAAGGCTCGGCCCTTCGAAATGACCTTACCACTATACAAAGGCGTTTAAAATTCATAGATTCTCCTCGTAAAGTGGTCTAGATCATTAGAAAACGATATCAAAAATGGTACTTGGCAATCATTTCTGTGGCACGAAACTAGTGAAAACATATTTCTTGGATATTCTTCCTCCTTTAAAACTTCCAACGTCGGATCTCTCCCATAGAGTGGTCTCCTGTCGGTTACTCGCGAAGCAACGTGGAACACCCTCAGGAAGAGGAATTCCGATATGGAGTTAATCATGGTGCAAAAGCGAGCTTTGATTTCTTGACACGCAGGTGGATCTAGGGGTTAGACTCCCTGTTTCTGCTATGTATACTCTCCGTGTTTCCGAGGACATATGCATACATACGTGAATTTGTTTTCGTTTATGCGGATTGTTTTCTAGAGGTCAGTTCGGCCAAAAACCTTCAATAAAGTGGCTATCGTCAAGCTATGACGAAGGAGAAACCAAAGTGTTCTATATAGACTCGAAGAAATTCTGCACAAAGTAGATTTGCTAACATTGGGCTCAGAAGAACGTCACATTGGGACCGGCGGATTAGAACGGAACGACCAATGTGAGCGACTATTTGAATTTATCATCGAAACCAAGACCATTCTTGTGTATGGTAGCCCACAACTCCAAACACCTTACTCTCGACACCAGAAGTGAAAGCCTTCCAGTGGAGGGTGCCATAACGGTAGAGAGCATATTAGAGTAAATCAAACGTTTTGTCTAACAGATATCTCTTCTGTGCCAAAATTGTACACAGGACCAGGCTATCGCCTCTTTCGCACAAGGTTTTATTTCTTGAGTAGCCGAGAAAAAGCTGCCAAATGGAAAAAACCATGCTCGAAAACCACCATAAACTGGCGTTTATTCAGTTCTTTAGTGGGCTTTTGGGAAGGTGCCGCTATTAACAATGTCGGCGGCGGACACGCCCAGCCCATTCAACACTTTCATATCAGTGCTATGAGAAGTGGGAGTTCGAAAGTCAGCAAGGGATGTCTGTCTCCAGAAACATTCCTACTGAACCGCCAACATCCACTTGCAAGAGCCACAGGCAACTTGCCTATTGACGGTGAAACTTGCCAAACATTGCAGAGAAGAAATAAAAAGGAGAGCTCAAGGAGAGAAAGGCAGTAGTGATGGTCAAGGTTTCAGAGGCAGTGAAAAAGTGTTCGCAAAACCAATCGAAACTTCGCCAATGACAGAACGAAGATGATTGCACTCCGCCGAACAGATAACACAGTTACATTTTCCAGAAAGGTAGTAGAGAAAGACATTCACGACTACAATTCCGATCTATTCAATAGCCAGACCCCTCTTGCACTCGTGTGAAGTAAGGAAGTATGGATATGTTGTCCCACCGGTTCTTCCTTTCGAAATTCGACATGTTATTTCATCGGCGAAGAAACGACCATCATTAGATTCTCACGGGATAAGACCTGAACATTGGAATGGGAGAGCATGGGAATGGAAGGCTATGGTCAGGAATTCCACCATCTTCACTTTGCTGATGGTAATACCTCCTAATGCTACAGCAACGTCTATCTAGGTCCAAAAAACAAAATGGTAAACGACTTAGCTCCAGAGTTGAGCAGCAAGAAACGAGTGGCTTGGAGAGCTTTCAAGAGCATCGAGGATTCAGTGAAGAGAAAAC